GAGTCTTCTTTTTTTCCTTTTTAAAAAATGGGGGTTAATACTTCAGGGTTTCTGTTTTAGGGTATTTGTGTGTGTGTGTACGTGTGTATGTATGTATATATAAGTCTGTCTGTCTAGCTATATGAAAGAGGGGGGAGGTACATGTCTGTTACCAGCAACAGTCCCAGGATCTCAAGTATTGCTTTACTTGAAAGAAGTGATTTTTTGTTTTCAAATTCATATGAACTTCTTACAAACCAATAAAAGGTATCTGTCTTAATACCTGACCATATCCTTGTAGGCTCACTCATCAGTGGAAAGGGCTGCACTAATTGGTGGTGTGAAGATGAAAAATGTTTCTTCAGATGATACTTTTAGTGTTTGTGGTTCAGCCCTAAAGAAAGTTTTGGATGAAGACAAAGCTTCTGGTCTTATCCCATTCTTTGTGAGTACTGGATTTTAATTAATCAATGTATTTATTGCTTCTGATAAACTATTTTGACATGAGTGGATGATATCATCCCTAGAGGGATCAATAGGCAGCCTAGCTAGAGTACTACCACAAGTTCCATGAGTGTTCTTCACACACCTTTCTGTGCACTATAAGCAACTAATTTGAGCAGCTGGTTGCACTTCTCAGCAAAAATCATGTTTTAAAAGGACTTAAAGTTATATTAGACAGTTGAATAAATGCAGGTGATTTTTATATTTGCATGTAATCCTGCAGTGTTATAATCTCCTAACACTTGAATTCTGAACTGCCTCTTTTACAAAGGTATACTTTTATTCTTCAGGTTCTAACTTACTTACACATAAAACAAGTTTAAAGGCAATAATTTAAATTATGGTATCTCAAACTTAAGTATTTTCAAGTAAAAATAGTTTCTTCTCACTACTTTAGCGAAGAAATCAAACTCCATAATGTACCCCAAATATCATCAAGATCAGACATTGTCACACAGGTATTTGTGAGTATGTGACTTATCCCTAAGAGGTGAGCTATAGGGAATCTGGCTGTGGAAGTTTTAAGGTGTTATCATTTCTTATTATCTGACCACTTTCCTTTCCAGAGATTTGTGCTTCCACATCAGTCTGGCAAAAGCAAGTGTTTATATCTCAGTAGCTAAAGCTCATGATCCCCGAATTTTTGACACAGAACAGTGTTAGACTGGATAAAATTCTAAAGTTTGGTGCTACTATAATAAGTACCTGATCAAAAAGAATATTTGCTTATTCACCAGATCTACTCCTCCTTTCAGTTCAGAACACCATAGTTTCAAGTTAAAGCAGATTTTACCATATCCTTTTTATGGAGTAAGTAACCTCTGTTGTATTTTTGTACATCATCAACAAAATTTTTTGCTCATTTCCAAGCATTATGCCTCTACAAAACTTGATCGACCATGGTCTGTATAGATCTATAAAGGGGTAAAATATGCTACCAATAGTATGTTTTTACTGGCCTTCACTGAAGAAAAATTTGAGGAAAAAAACCCCTGTTTTAGAATCCTAGAACTTTAGAAATAGGATTTTTTAAGAGAGTCAAAAACATGTCATGATTTTTCCAGAGAAGTCATCTGAGAACTTTTTCTTTTTTTCATGCGGTAACATTTTGAAAAGGGCTAATGTGATTTAAATTTCTATTAACTGTTTTCAGAAGAATTAGCAGATTAAGCTTACCTATAGTCATGGATAACTGCCAAATAGGACAAAAAAGCTTAAATTTCACCAAGCTTTTTTGAAAATGTCATCTTTTTACTCTTCTTTTTATTAACCTTTAGTGTCTGTTTTTCTGTAGTATGTGGATGACTAGGGTGAAAAATGTTTTTCATATGTGCAGAATGGTGCTAATTTCAAGTTTGCCTACGGCTAGCAAGTCCTTGGAACCACCAAGCACATCCCATCAGTTGTTTTCCAATATAGTAAGACTATGGCTGAGAAAAAAGGCATCTGTAAGGCTGCCTAAATGAACTTTCCTCTGTGGGTTGCACCTATTAAAATGGAGACGTGCCATAAGGCATGTTTTATTTCTCTGTTATATGGTACCAGATCATAATATCTTATAATAAGATTCTACTTGTTTATCTTACTGTTAATTTTAAATAATTACAAGTACAGCACTATATCCCATCTCCGTGCATTAATTACAAATCTAATGTGTTTTTTCCTCATCTTTCGTTCATTAACAAAAAAAATGCAATTTGCCCCTCATAAGTATTCATTCCTTATTAATTTTTCTATGTGTACCAAGAAGAAATAAAAAATTCTGGTTTATGCATTCAGTAACACCTTTACAAAGGGTGATTTAACTGTTTTTCTTCCTCTGTTTGCTTAGCAGTGCAAAACAGACAGCAGAGGCTCAGTCTGAGTTAATATGGCCTGTGCCAGGTCTTCCATTTATTTGTATACATAAAACATGTCAGATTAGATTAAACTAGATCTCATTATCCTTATGGTTGGCCTCTTAACTCAGAAGGTGTGTTAATTCTCTGTCATGCTGAGCAGCAGTCCATGCACTGTATTAGCGCTCCCTTTTATGGCTTGCAGATTTCAAAAGCCTTTACATTTATTTTGTTCTTGAGTAATTTGATGCTGTTTATTTTTTCTTTTTTTTCTGGTGACAAAGATATGCACATTGCCAAGGAAACACCTTATACCACTTTATTCCTTGTCTCCCTGTATTCACTGATCCTTCACTAAGGGGAGTGATTCAACATCAAAGCAAAAAGTTTTAACAGAAGAAATTCTGCCTGAAGAGACAGCAGAGATACCATTCTTAATGAAGAGATCTTGGTTGCATCCAAGCTGATGCAGTCTCCCTTATCAGGAAAAAAAAAAAAAAAGTTTTTAGGTGATTTGAAGGAAAATACAAGCAAATTACAATGCCTTATAGGCATGAGTCTCCTCTTATATTTAATGAATAAGTGAGGAACGATTATACTGAACTTGACAGAAGTGCTTTGCTTGTAGAGGTGAGTGGGGAATTGGGTGCATTTGCTTGATGTGATACAGGTTCTCTCAGTATAACAATCTGGTAATTACAGGTTTGCTTTTCACATACATAGGATTTGGTAGTCAGCCTTTTTTGGGGGGGAGGAGGGGGGCACTATCTTTAAAACAAGTCCTTGAATTCCTACCCACCATCGAAATCTTGTAGCACTACTAATGTGTATATAATTTTGTTCAGTGAAGGCTATTGCCAATTAGCGTACCCAGACCTCTATTTCTGTTTTCTTTTCTTACTTCTAAGTTCAGACTTGTGTTAATTTGTGTCTTTCAAAATACTTTTGCAGAAACTGAAACACAGATATTTTCATATAGTAAAGCAAGCAGACTGTGCAAAGAAAGCACTTAACTGTGTCAGGTGTTGAGGCACTAAAAGTGCCACAATTTACTGAGGCGCAATTTCCAGGTGTGGCTAATATGTAGCCCTTCATCTGGCCACCGGTTAAGGGGGAGCTTTAAAGCATATGCTGAAGTCATGTCCATTTCATTAATTATAAACACTAACCAGTGGCTAAGCACATGCGTAAATGCCTTTCTCAGTTGGACTTTATGCTCCCAGCTTGATGCAGGTCTCTACATTGGATGCTCAAATGTGGAGACCACTAAGCTAAGCATTGATAAATGCAGACGTAGGTTCCACTGCATTCGAGCCTAATTCACTTGACTGTAAGTGGCCTGTGAGCTTTATGCTTTCACTTATCAACACTGATGGATATATCACAGCTGGCATATATATAGTACAATATACTCCAACAACCTCATACAGTATAAAGCTACTATAACATGATAGCCTTGCTGCTAAAAAAAGGCACAGTGTGAAATCTCTCTGATTCAAGCTGAAATTACTTAACAAGCAGACTGTTTGTATACAGACTCAGCTAGGAAACAATAAGCCAGAATTAGACTGACAAAAGGAGCCATCTTTTCAGTAGAAGTTTTAGATCCTGACCACAGATTAACATTTGGAAGAAGCATTCTCAAGACACGTACAGATGTCTAGGGTGATGTTTCTTAACCCACAGTTTGTCAATGATTGCTGTTTCATAAAATACTGAATGGTAATTTAGTAAATTGTTGCAGTTTTCTTCAAGCCACAGACATTCTCACAAGTGCAAGCTGGCAAAATAGTAGGAGAAAATAAAAATAATAGGAGAACATTGAAAGTTATGCCTCGTTTTAGTTAATTGCAAATGAAAATCTTTGAGGTGAAACTGTGCAAAATGTGTCCACATCTTTTTCAAAAGCTGTAGCAGGTCTTCCAGTTGGAAAGATTGAGAGTCATTGCTCTCGGGCATCATAAAGATTCATGCATGTTCCCTGTCATAGCTCTTGATTTCAGGAAAGTAATACATGAGATGACTAATGCAAGCATTTTAACTGCTTTGTATTTGCAGCCAGGGCTGAGTCAAATGTGAAGTGCACAACCTGAAAAGTATAAGGCCTGCAGGCTATACTGAGCCACCAGTCCCATTTCGGTGACACAGCCTGCCCCCCGCCCTTTGCACAAATGTGATTTTGCCGGTGTTACGCAGGTTACAAATTGAGTTAGATTCATTGTGTAGTACTGAGGCAGGGTAATGAGACTCCTGACAGGAGCAGATGCTGTCACTGTAAGTGGTTTCTGAGAATTAAAACAAGTCGCTTTGAGGCTTAGACACCTGCACAGAGGACAACAAAATTATTTTTCAAACTGAGGTATACTTTACAGAATAAGCCATTATTTAAACAACTAAGCATATGTTTGAACTCACATAACCTCTCATTGAAGCAACATACTCCTTATCCTGACTGGAATACTTTAACTGCAGTACAACAGTAATAACAAAAATGTATAACTTTCTGTTGTGAAATCTCCATCATTATTTTAATTGCTGGACTAGCCAAGATAATTTCACTCTAAACTTATGTTGTCAGAAAGTCCACACCATATTATCATAAAATACAGGTATAAAAGGAGAGCAAAGTCTATACTGCACTCTTTATTTGTGTATTTTCCAATCCAATGGGTTAACTCTATTCTTTATGTACATAGAAAAATTAGAATTTTCATCATGGTATCCTCCTTTTCTTGTGAAACAGTTTGTAGATCTGTAGTTCAGCCAAAGATGAAATGCAGGTTTCTCCTGACTGTGGAACATCTTAAGTAGACAATAGCATGATAAATATATTTTCACTCCATACATACATGCCCTCTTATTAAAAAAAGGGAGCAAACTTATTCCTTTTTTAAAAAGATATCCTGCTTTCTTTTTAAAGCAACCTCCCTCAAAGGAGTATTAAACTTCCAGAGAAGTCCTAGATGTGTCTCAAGGCACCATAATTATTCTTTTATTCTCATGTGTCTCAGGAATACAGAAAGGCCCAATATAGATAAAGATTAGATTATTTTGAGAGGGAAATGTGTTAGCAGCAATTTTTTTTTTTAACTATATATTCAATGTGCTTCTGATTTTCAGAAATGTATTTGTTTCAGACTCAGGTTCTTAGTAGGTTGATATGGAAAAAATACTGAATTGTCCATTTCTTATTTTAATAATGACTTTTCCCATAGACAATATTTTTATGGGTGCTATGAAACATGATTATAGTTATTAATATTGATGTAATTTCAAAGTTGGGGGAACATGTGCGCTATCATGGATAAAATGTTTGTAGGGTTTTATATGACTACATTTAATCAGGTCTGCCCTATGCAAAGGCAGGATATGACTTCCTCTAAGAGTGTACATAGATTCGTATGAATTGAGTACTATCTGAGTACTTCTCATTAAACAGAAAAAATCAGCTCCCTACAACAACTTGAAATCTCTCTGATATATAAGCTATAATATGCAGGAATGTTCAAAAGTGTACTTAAAAGAGAGGTTTTACCTCTATAGCAATAGATTATTGATTTAGGTCAGTGTTCTTCGTATGTATAATTTTAAGCTTCTGGCTTTTTGAGTACATATCCACCTGCCCTTTTTACTGCTAGTGTGGGATTTCCTAGAAATTTTGAAAAATCTAGTTTAACAAGGAATAAACCAACCATTTCTCACTTTGCATGGGCTCTTTAAAACATGGAACTTGCAAATGAAAACCCTATCACATTTATCCAACTCTTTGTCTCATAATCAGATTATTTTTTCCAAGAGGTCAGGCCTTTCTAGTGTGCTGTTGCTGCTTTGTTTCATAGAATGAAAATAAGAATATTAAAAAAGCTTGATGGGAAATGTGAAAAGCAAAAATAAATAAACATATTAAAACTTTATGAGACGTTATTGGGAGGGCTAGTTAGGGAACACCCAGAGGAAAAACCAGCTCTTAGTCCTGAGATGTGTACAGGACCTACTTCAAGATATGACTGTAGACGATTTGGAACAATATCCAATAGCTGGTAGAAGTGAAAAAGTCAATAAAATCTCCAGCTTGAAAGCAGGTAGCAACTTGAGGATGAGCATTCAAGGGAACAACTGAAAGGGTAAAATATTGGTAGCTGTCAAGCAGTCTGTTTAACTAGAGCAGGAATACTTAGGGCAAATGCATATCACCTTCTAAAAAAGGAAAAGAGACCCTCCTGAAAAAGCTGGCATAGTTTAACTTTTGAGTAACGGGATCTCCTAGAATTAAAGAGGTATCAGTGAAATGCAGGAGAGACAGCATGTGAATGTCCGAGCTAGAATAGAAAAAAGCGTACGCTTAGCAAGTGAAACGCGATATTAGGCTAAAATGGATTATAGGAATTTGGCAAACAATTTGCTACTGGCATAATAACATGAAATTATTTTTCTCAGAAGTAGAAAGCTTGTTGTGCTAGAGAGAGACTAAAAGCTGAAGGCAGATATGGCAACATCAGGTAACCTAAGCATGAGCAAAATCCTTTGCTGCAGAACTACTTACATCACGATGACCGTAACAGAACAGGCCAAAAGTCTGCCCCGTCCCGCTCACTCAAGCCACCAGCAAATCCAATGAGCACAAATCAGTTACAAGTCTCTGTTACAGAGCTGTGGCTCTTTAATTCAAGCAGTATCAATGAGCCATTCTGTCAACAGGAATTCCAGCACCTTTAAGTTGCTCAAATTCAGAGCTTGCTTATATACAATAAGCTGCAAATCATTTTGATGATAACTGCATATGTGAGGTTAGTGTTAGGCCACACAGTAAGCATGTGGAACACATAGAAAATATATAAAACATAGCATTAATATAATACTGAATATATTACGTTACTTATCGATTTTACATCAGCATTTGATTTCATGCATATGTCTCAGTAGATGCTTATGGGAGCTTTGACAAAAAAATTAGATTCTTAAAAGTTCCACTGAAGGATAGGTATTGTCTAAAATCAATTTCTTTTGCCCTGTATAATTTGTTCTCTCTGCTTATTGTTACCTTTGCAGACAGTTTTTTTAGTTTGATAATTTTCTTTGCTGTAACAATTTTTTTGCCTTTTTTTTTTTTTTTTTTTTTTTTGGCTCTGCAGTTCTGTGCAACACTTGGAACCACACCTTGCTGCTCCTTTGATAAACTGCTAGAACTGGGTCCTATTTGTAAGTCTTTGCTGCTACTTTCTAAAATCGCAGATACCAGTTTAAGCCGCGCTGAGTCATTTCCAGGCCATTATGCAGTTATCAGTGTCCCAGTTCAATAAGGCTACTTATAGGTGAGACCTTCAGTTACACTTTTCTTTCTAATATTAGGTCAAGCAGCAAGTTTGCATTCTCAAGCCGTTAAAGAGTACAGCAGCTATTGACTCAAGGCTTTTTTGGGGGGTGTGTTTTGGAACACTGTCAGCTAAAAAATATTATAGGTGCTTCAGTTTGTAACATTTTTCTTCAAGCCTTTCTTACCTGCACTTGCATCTCGAGCAGTGGTGAAGATCAGGGAAAAGCTGAACTCTATTTCTCCTCTGCACCAAGTGTTTTGTTTCTGTCTGGTTCTAACCCTATAAAAAGCAGGGAAATATGCACCAAAAATCCACGTGTATTCTCCTTAATCCTTCCTCTCCCCAATCTCCTTCCTCTTGCAAGAAAACAGGACGAGTACCAGGGTGTTTAATACAATGACTGAGTCATGGACTCATAAGTATTTCTGTGTTATGGTCTGTTGTGTCAAGTTTTGATCTGCTGCAAGGCTTGGTCAAAAGCACACACTTCCTGGCTGATGAAAATGCAACTGAAGTGCACCACATCTAATCAAGTGTATATTTAGAACAGGAAATTTATAACTATAAGCAACTGGAAGCAGCCTCATAGAAACACAGCTAGATTTGATGTTCTGTTAATTTATTCAGGTTGGGCCTAAAACATTTGGGGTTTGTGTGGTGGTGACTTACTCTGTGATGTTTCCTGCCCTTCAGCACAAGCCCCAGGGACTCAGTTTCTCCCAGTGCTCCTTTCTGAAAAGGTTTCTAGCTGTCTGCTTAGCAGCTGGGGATTATTTTGCTGTTCAGGTTATTCTTATAGACCTGACCTAATAAAATAGTGACACCAATACTTTTAGGTATAGCAACTAATCGTGTGTTTCACCAGTTGCTCTCAATTATTTCCTGCTTCTGCAGCAGAGACCAGCAGAAGGATTATGTGCTACTCAGATCATAGTCCCATGCTAGCTTTTTTGTGTGCAGGTGAATTTTCTTCTTAATACACATAAGGAGTAGTCCTATGAAATAAAGGCAGTGTCTCAAACCAAGTATATTTAAAAATAAATAATCAGTTGACCTTTGAACAAGTTTTCAAAAAAAATTGTCATGGATTTTATGAATAATATTTTATTAGCTTTTTCCAGACATTTATGCAAAAAGAAAATGTAGTTCACAAGAATGCAAATTCCAGCATGAACTTGGTCCCCACTTGCAGATCTGAATTTATATACCTCTGTATGTGGAAATACCCATCAGAATTATTTGGTGACCAGTGTTATGTGGGCTTCAGTCATCAACCGATAGACCAGAATAGTTACTGTGTGCATTAATACAGGTGTTCTATAGCAGAGTGTAAATATTAAATTACAGAGAATACATGAGAGGGTCATATGCTAAAACATTTCTGCAGGAACCATTCAGTGACTAAACAAAACTATAATTTTCCTAACCTTTCAATGCTTGCTCTTGCATAAGTGTCTCAGTCCTTGAAATAAATAGTTTGCTGCACATTGTTCAAAAGCATGCACACACACATACATCAACATGTACAAAATACCGTTTAGAAACACTTGTTTGTGATTCATGAGTTAGAAATGGGGAGCACAGCTAAAACTCTAGCTCCTCTTGCTAAAGTAGATAGTTCTGTCACCATAGAAATAAATTATAACTACATCTCTAGATACATCTTTTTAAAATGGGTTCTATAATGGTTCTTAAATAAAAATAATTTAATATTTTATGTTGCTTAATATTGATAAGATAAACCTAGACATGTAAGGACTCTGTTCTAGTAGAAGTGGGGAGGAAGAAGAATAAGTTGTATATACATCTTTACATATTAATGGAAACCCAGATGGTAGAAACATTTAATCTTGTAATTTAATTTTAAATTGGGAAAATAATAACATCAAAGAAAAATCTCTTAGGCACTTGGTTTCATGCAAATTAATGGGGCTTTTTAATCTGCTGTTTAATTTATTTATCCTTCAATTATTTATTCTTTTTAGGTAATAAGGAAAATGTCTGGATGCATATTGATGCAGCTTATGCTGGGAGTGCATTCATCTGCCCTGAATTCAGGCATCTTTTAAATGGAGTGGAGGTGAATTAAGTATTTCTTCTCTAGCAGCCTGCTAAAACCTTGCTCTTCCATAGAATTTGTGTGTTTCATACACATCCAACATTAATGGCTGTTCTAGAATCTCTGAGTATGCTGCACTTCAGTTTACACTACAAATCCCTGTATATTCTATTACATTACTTATGTTTATGTAATTTTTACTGGTTTATTCTGGGAGTATGCAAGTTACCACAGTATGTAAAAGTTTGTCATTCCAAATAGCAAGCTGTAGTGAATCAACACCGTGTCTTTTCAAAATAGAAAAGAGGAATTTTTTATTGAATATCCAAAAAGGCAGTTTTATCACACCCTAATTCTGAATTACACAAAAAAAAAGAAAAAAAAAAAAGTTCAACAAATTAATGAGCTCATTATGTCTGATTTTTTGCTTACATCCTGAAAGCCATATAGGATACAGCCAGTAGCTGTATCTCAGACAGACAGGTTTTAATAACCAAGAGAGCTAAATGAAATACTCCCCCAAGAGCACTCCTGTTCCTTTCCTCCC